GCTACCACTGAACCCATGACAAAGGATACCACTGAAGCTAAGATATAAGCTACGACTGAAACTACGACAAAGGCTACCACTGAACCTATGACAAAAGCTACCACTGAACCTATGACAAAAGCTACCACTGAACCTATGACAAAAGCTACCAGTGAACCGATGACAAAAGCTACCACGGAACCTATGACAAAAGTTACCACTGAACCTATGACAAAAGCAACCACTGACCCTATGACAAAGCTACTACTGAACCTATGACAAAGGCTACCACTGAACCTATGACAAAAGCTGCCAGTGAACCTATAACAAAAGCTACCACTGAACCTATGACAAAAGCTACCAGTGAACCTATGACAAAAGCTACCAGTGAACATATGACAAAAGCTACCACTGAACTTATGACAAAAGCTACCACTGAACCTATGACAAAAGCTACCAGTGAACCTATGACAAAAGCTACCACTGCACCTATGACAAAAGCTACCACTGCACCTATGACAAAAGCTACCACTGAACCTATGACAAAAGCTACCAGTGATCATATGACAAAAGTTACCACTGAACCTATGACAAAATCTACCACTGAACCTATGACAAAGGCTACCACTGAAACTATGACAAAGGCTACCACTGAACCTATGACAAAAGCTACTACTGAACCTATGACAAAACCTACCACTGAACCTATGACAAAAGCTACTACTGAACCTATGACAAAAGCTACTACTGAACCTATGACAAAATCTACCACTGAACCTATGACAAAGGCTACCACTGAAACTATGACAAAGGCTACCACTGAACCTATGACAAAGGCTACCACTGAAACTATGACAAAGGCTACCACATAAGCTACAATAAAAGCTACCACTAAAGCACTCAACGTTTTAGTTCAGCATAAAAAACGTATGGTTACTGTATTAATTCCAGATGTTTGTTTGTTTCCAGTACAGTCTATCATACACATTGGCAGGGGAGTCATACGGAGGGGGGGGGGAAATTATACACAACGGCAGAGGCGTCTATACGGGGTTAAGATTATACACAATGGCCGGGGCGACTACACATGGTGGAGATTATACACAACGGCAAGGGCGTCTACACAGGAAAGAGGGAGATTATGCACAACATCAGGAGCTTCCAATGTCATTTTGGGTGGCGGAATAAAATAATCCCCCCCCCCCCCACCCCTGCCTTGGGAATTTCAATAGGTCACAAAATTTATACGTAAAAATTAATTATTTTAGCACTCAATTTTTTTCTTTATATTTTTTTTTTGGGGAAGGTGGCCGGGTGGGGGGGGGGGCGGGGGGGGGGGGGGGATTTTTGTGAGGAGGAAGAAAAATTGATTATTTGGAATCGTCAAGCTCGGGCGTAGGATCAAATAAACTGCAGGATCTGGAACGACACGTGTGTCATCTGGAACGACACGTGTGTCATCTGGAACGACACGTGTGTCGACCATACAACCACGCCGACCTCTTGCCATAGCAATGAATAGTGAGAATAAATCTAAAAAATAATAATAATAATAATAGGCCTTTACAATTTCTAGTTTTGAATCCTCTCAGGATTCGATTATTTGATTTGCTGGAAAAAGATGAATTAGTTGATTATCAATATTATTATTGAATAGTCAACATTTTTCTAACAATTTTTTAAACTGTGAATTCGTTTAGTTCTAATAAAGTTAGTGAACGCCCGAATATCCAACACCAATGCTGCCAGTACAAAGATTCAAAGGAAACTCTTTGCCCGAAAACAGAAAATGTCTAAGGTCTGGATTTTTTTTGAGGGTTTGGGGGTGGAAGGGAGTTGGCTTCCACTACTCGGGGAGGAGGGAGAGTGGAGACGCCTCTGCTCAAAGTTATTTATTTATTTATTTGAAAAAACCCAAATCAGTTATCCTGTTTTTCTATAGGGAAACATGAACAACAAACAATTTCTCCAAATAACATTCCCGATGACTGTGCTAAATGGGTTTTTTTTTTTTTAATATCGCAAATTCGTTTGATACTTAATAGTTTCTTTAGTTTTCCTGAAATAGTTGGTGACAAAAATCTGCGACGTAAAAGCTGGTGGGTCATTAGAATATTATTATAGTTCAGGGGCGTGAACACGTTTTTGGTTCCGAGCTTTGTGTAAGGGTAGGGGGGGGGCGGGCCCTGATTGGGATTGTTATAAAGTGCGTTACTTGTATGCATGTTTCAAGCCCCCACCCCCCCCCCCCCCCCCCCCCC